TGAGCTTTGCTTAAGTCATAGGTCAGAGCAAATGAATATATTGTTCGTAGGTATAATATTATAATATACAGGAATTTTTAATACAATAAAAGTTTTAATAAAATTTTCTGATAAATTTGATTGTTTTTTTTTCTTTTAAGAAAAACTTTGAAGAAAAAAAAAATTGTCACTTGCAACTCATGAATAAAATTTTAATACCCAATCAATATAGTAATTAATCTAAAATTACAGTTTTGAAAAAATTGAATACTTTATTTTTGTAAGGTAATATATTATCAATTCTTGATTAAAGTTGTTGCATTTTGTTTTATTAATGTTTTAATAAAGCAATTATTTGCACTTTTATTATAACAATCATTGAGTCGTCGCTAAGCGAGATTAATCTTCGCCGATTCACACATTATATCGTTAGTGTTAATTAATCTTTCCTGTTGTCATTCGCGATTTCGTCGCAAACAGCGGCGCTGCGAGATTAATCACTTGCCCTATACGGCAATCATTCCTCGTAATTCGCTGCTATTTCTGAGCCTCTTAATAACTTTCAGTTAATGACGCGCGTTCATTGAATTTTGCTGTCGCATTATCGCTGAGTGAAACGGATTGCGTGTTCACAGTTTTCCGCGTATAATAAATAGCACGCTTTTTCCGAGTAACGAGTCGCGCTTTGTTTTAATATTAATTTTGACTGGGATCGATTTTACGCACCACTGTGTCCTAAATGAAAATGTAGGTCATTACGCAGAATAATTAAAAGATATCAATAAAATGCGTGGAGAAAGAAATTTTTTACATTACATTCTTTTAACATTTTCTATTAAAGGCTTCTCTTACAAACTATAAATTGATTTCATCTTAATGCGTCTCTTTTTAAATTAGCATCGATTTTAAATTCTTCTCAATTTAATATATTTGTACTAACAAGAGAAATTATTATATTTTAATGCTAAGATACATCGTATATTGACGCGTATATGTCAAAATATAAAAAAAAAAAAAATAAAAAAACTGTTGCAAACAAGTTGAAAAATTGCAATACTTTCTACGAGACAAGATTTCAGCGACCATTTTTTTGTTATTAAATTGTTTTTAATAAAGATCGATCTTGCACATAGTTACGTGGTAAATGAAAATGCATGTCATCACGGACACGATATTAAAAAGTTTCAGCAAAATGCACTGTGAGAGATAAATTTTTTTATGGAAATATGTCGACGAGCGCATCGAAGTAAAATAACAGTTGGAGTTGTAAATAATGCTGGGATTAAGTTTGTGTAGCAAAACAGAACGGATGTTTCGCGGATTATATTTTTATGCTCTCAATACAAATAAACAAATAGAAATTATAATGTTGCGAAGTTTTTCTCCGGAGTTTTTTACGCATTTCAAACTCAAATCGATCGTAATTTGATAAAAAAATCCGCGATGAACGACGCGACCACAATTCCGCAACACTTGGTACATATAGAATTTATAGATGTCCTGTTTTTCGTTTGTGCGATATTCTATTCCAGTTACATCCAGTGTACGCGACGAATGCGATTTATTAATGAGACGATGACACGTAAACTAGAAGCAGCTATGTGATGCAACGTTACATCGTGGTCAACGCATTCTATTGACACGCGTAAACGCATTTCGCATAGGACGTGCGGATAATCAGATTGAAAGGTATCACATCTGTTATATCGAACCGCATTTGTTTACCTTTCATTTTTCCTATTGTTTTCGTCAAACATAAAACAATAAATTTATCCGCACGACTGAAATGTTCATCACCAATGTCGGGCGAGCATGATAGAATATTCGAAATAAACATTCGCTATTAGTCGGACTTTTGTTCTGAAAATTTAATAAATTTATTCCAAAAAAAACTTTCAATTTTTGCAGACATTTATATGCAAGTCTATATGTATAATAAATGAATTGACAATACCGTAATCATTTACCGCTACTATATAAATAAAATATCTGACTTCTCTCTGAAAATAAGATCTGTAGAGAATTAATTTAATTGAACGTTATTGATGAAATGAATGGAGAATCTTAAAGCTTTTAATAGCAAATAAAAATTGCTGATGTACTAAACCGTATTATCGAAAAATCAATCATTTAAATCGTTTTGCTCCTATTACGAAAATAATGATGCTCCACTACAAAATGTCACGATGCACTCTATTGTGTCATCGGCACACCGCATTCAAGAAAATTGTTTCATTATCCGTTACGCGCTTGAAAATAACACACTTCTGACACGCGCGAATGTCACAGAAAATATTAAATAAAACGAATGCGATAATGTGAATTAAACGTAGATAATCATGATATATTTTGTTTGTTGTCAGATCTTGCGTATGACTTATCCCGATCTATCTGAGGAAAAATTGTGACTTTTAAATTGCACAATTTAAAATTATTTAAAATAATTTCAAAATATATAATATATACATGTATATGTAAGCAATTATAAAAAAATTATATCAGAAAAATAAAGATAAGAAATTTAACAGAATAAAGAAACTTTTTTCTGCAAAAAGATTTGTAACACATAATATAATCCTTTGATATCATGCGTGCAAGAAACCATAATACATTAGCGGGAAATGAACGAAACGTGGATTAAACGCGATTTCCGTGCATATGGTCAATGTAATAGCAACGGTTCATGATGGTGGCGGCAGCGATGGCGGCGGCAGTGATGCATTTCCGCCATCGGAGAAAAGCGGCAAAATAGTACGCGCGTTGAATAATTCAAAGCAAACGGCAAGAGGCAGAGACGAGCCGTGTCTCGTATTTGTACAACTGATCGCTGAATATTTAGCAATGTGTTTATCCAAATCATGATCTCGCATTTCAGGCCGCATCACGTTCACTTCGGCGCGCTACAAATGCAGCCAGCGAATTCGCTCGCGATGCGATCGTCGCCGGGATGCCGCGCCCGTGTGCTTCTCTCGCGTATAATATGTTAAACTTCTTGAAAGTTGCCATTTATTGCGGATTGAAAAGAGTTCGGAACGAGATCGACAAATGTGCAAATAGAAAAGAAATAGTTGCGCAGTGAAGTAGTGGATTTTCTGACAAATAATTTAAAACAACATTTAGAAGACCAATTTACGAAAAAATACTCCAATTGCTCCGTTGTTTCTTAGCTTGCGGCTTTTTCATATTTTTCATAAATAGTTGTAGAAAAATATTAGATATTTTTATATGTAAATAAAATATTTATCATATATAAAGTTATTTGGTTGAGTTACATTTCCATGTTTTTGAAAAAAAGTTATTTTAGCTACACAGAGAGATTCGAATGTTGCTTCTCGTATAAACTCCAACAGCTTTATAGATTCGCGAACTACTGGATATTACATTATAAATATTACATAATAAGATTTATCTTTGACTGCGTCATTAGATTTCCATTTCTCATTAGCATATATCGACGAATTGATCTTTGAATCGTCAATAACATCACGGAGGGATGTCGGCAATCATTCTGTCATAACGGCACAGAAGTGCGTACTTTTATTTTATTTTCCCATCTAATACGTCCGTTCCTTTCGTCGCATTTGGATATTAGAGTTTGTTCATCGTGATTTCATATTCAGGATGTGCCTTTAAACCAATGTTTGCATCATTTTGAATTCCTCTTGCTATACATCGCTCGCGCGCAACTCTTCTTTCAGCCCCAATTCCCTCTCTTCCACAGCTACTACCCCTCTCCTCCACGCCGCATTCGCTAGATGAACGAAAGGACTTTCCTTTGATTTCAATGGCGCATTAATCGCTTCATAAGATCCTTTGTAGAATCGATTGCTCTGTAGCGATATTTGAAAATTAGGCGTCTATTTATCTGCTTTCGAGATGAAGCTTTTAAAAGGCTTGCAATATTTTTTTCCTTTTACCAAACCTTTAATCAAATCATTGAATTCAACATTTCTACTATTATTAAAAAATAAGTAAAGGTCTCGAAATATATCTCCATTAGTTTCACCCGAATGACGCACATGTGTAACGCGTGTGTAACGCGTGTGTAACGCGTAATGAAGAGGCGTTTCACAGCCGATATATGTATCGGGCAAGCCTTTCGTTGTCCTTTTTGTTGGCCGATGATTCCATTAAAGCCCATCAAAACGCCTATGTTAGTCCTCATTTGCATCGAGCCGCGCCAGTCGGCAATACACAATTCTAATTCACTACTGCTGTTCGTCGCCATGTAACGACATTATCGGGCTGCCTTCCCCCAGCCCGACATAATTCTCCATGTTGCACTCTGTTCGCCACACCCGCATTGACGTTCCACCTATTCCTTTCCTGATATGGTTGGTATGCTTCGAAATATCACCCGCTCTCCATATGACCCATTTACATGCGCAAAAGTGCTTTCCGAGATTATTGGAATCGGTGGATCCGTTGCGGCGGATAAAGATGTCAGAATTTTCCGAGTTACGCGGATTCTTAAGGAAGGCCTTTCACTCGTTAATACACTCTTATGCATTTTAATAAATATCAGATCGTGCACATTTGTGTCGACATCGGCCGCGCTTATTTTCAGGAAGCCATGCAAAATGCAATTGTACGAGCCCGTTGCATGAGAATCGTTCATTCCGCGAGTTGCCCGAAGAGAAGTCTCGGGAATCGATTTCAGCTACGGGAGCTTAAACTTTAAGGCGACTGCAATTGTCGGGCAAACATTGACTACGTCGGAAGCTGCATCTTTCGGAGAATGGATTTCTTTCTTTTTGTTTCGACACGCGCCACCGTGAATTTCCTTTCTGCGTTTTATTTCTCGCACACGGCACGAAGGTTTATCACAATTTATCGCAATATTAAACTTTTTTCTCGATATATCGAGGCGAACGATGGTTTAAAGTGGTACATCACGTTCGATGTTGTTTTTTTTTTTTTTTTTGTTTTAACAGTGTATCTCCAGCCGCATCGCGCGTCCACGAGTTTCGAGATGAAAAATTCTCGCGATGTCGTGTAGAAGAATAGCGAGTGCTGCTTACCTCTTTGATCCAGCTTTTCCAGAGATCTCGATCCCAGGGATGATGGAAGCCCAGATACAAGTGCCGAGTTTCACGATGGTGACTCTCTTCGGGGTGTTGGCTCACATGACACTGTTGAGTGACCCTAGGAAATCCAGTGACACGCAAAACGAGTTTGCCCAGACGTGACGGCGCATAGCACACCGCACCACCTCCGCCGCACAGTTCCATCCATTCTGCTCGCGATTCCGGACAAGCTGCGGAAAACGCGTTTGTCTCGTTTATTTATCAGTCCTTTGACAATTTGCGAGTACGTACAATTGCAGTCGCGCGACGATACTGGCATGACAAATGGTCCGCGAGAAAATTAGAAATTAAATAAAATTTTCTTTTCAATTGTTTCGCTGTAAATGCATTTCAGAAATCTTAATTCGATGTCTCGCGTTATCAACCACTTATAATCCGAAAATGTCCGAATTAAGTCGAGAATGCCGAACGATTATTGGTATTCCAATGATCGGCGTTACATTCCACGGCGTCAGCTTTCAGAAAACATTCGTTATTTACTGGGACGCTCTAGAAGCACGCAAACGACATTGGGTGTTATCGAATTTTTGCGTGACTCTACAGAAAAACAAAGGAGATTACATCCGGTGATCGCATCCGATACGAAATTTATTCGCTGCGATGGACCGCGAAATACCGGAAGCACTACGTTCTATCAGCAGACGCTGATATGCAGATGCTTGCACGATTATCGAATTAGATGCATCGGCATGTTGGAATTCTCTTTCGGAATTTCGGCAAAGAAAATTAGGAGAGAATTTATGAGTTCACGTAAATGCGGGTGTTAATAAATTCTGAAATACTAGAAATGTTAAATCTCGACTTGGACCAATAAAATTTTTCGAATTATATTTAATATCTCGTTCTTTCTTAACACTAATTGTATTATGTTTTAATTTCTATCCTTCCGCCGTTATGATAAAAATCGCATTTAAATCTCAATTCTCTCGTTTATCCTAAATTGTTAAAAAAAGATTTACATCCGATTTTATAGTTTTTACGTACAAATATAACAATAACTGTTAATCCGCGTAGTTTGAATGATTTAAAGGTCGAAAAAGCACTTTTTTAAACTATTTGCGTTACTCTGAAAGTTAAAACCGTAACGCAATACTTGTTATTACTTCATACAGAGAATACAGAGCGAGAATGGTCGCGCTTTTCCATTGTTCTCAAATCGCTGTGATGCCAAGCGCCGGAAAATAGTTGAGGGTGGCGATACTTTGTTTCAGTTGTTAAGCGATATAATGCTCGTGCTTAACATTGTTTCTCGATAAAATTGCTGCGTTGCAACAAATTTCTTGGGTTGGTTCCGAAAATAAACTATCGTTTAAATTTTTTTAACAATACATATTATTTAACGACTTTCTAAAAACTTTTCGTAAAAAGAAACAATAAAGCAACGCGGAATTCAATTATTGAAATTGAGAAGTCCAAGAGTCAAATTATGCAACTATCTAACATGCAACTATGTTCATTATGCGAGCAAAATTTCGAGCCAACTATAGAATTAATGATAGTAAGCGGAGTACCAAGGAAGGTCGCCAAATATTCGTTTCCGAATCATAGGATTTCGGGCAATTCCTAATTGAAGCCAATGGCAGCCGCAGCTTAAATCAGCAAATGCCGGCGAGGCTGACTGGCTTCCGAAATAGCCGCCATTCTACGTCTATGCTAGATTGTGGTTCCATTCGCAAGATACGTATCGAGTGGGCAATTTCCTAACAGCAATGCAGAGGCTGTACACAAAGTCCTTGTGTATTCCCGTAACATTTGCACTTCTGAGAAATTATGTAAAACGTAAATTATGTAAACGTTCCAAAATATTGTAAAAATCCAAAATTAATACAGCAGACATTTTTTTTGATCGCCGTTAGCAGCGCAAAAAGGTGAATCTCGCGATATTCAAATTTGGAATACCGTGAAACTGCCAAGCGAGAAAAATAATCAATGAGATCAGCTATTGGCGGGGAAACGATAGAGCAAAGAAATGGGAAGTCTTTTTGGACGTGTGTGGCCAGGAACGGCAGATGCCGAGAACAGGATATCGCCGAGGACGAAGGACGCGGATGTCCTTCCTTCCGTCACGTTCGCCGGATACGAATCTCCGCGCGCGATGGCCGGAAAATAATGGCCGAGAGATCCGGCGATGGAAAGAGGATCGTTCCTAGGAGGTTGTTCGCTGTTGATTCAGCACGAGGGTTCACACGCGATGGCGAACACCTGTTACCGCGGCTATCTCAAGTTTAATCAAGCCACTGGGTCCCGAAGGGGCGGCTACGAGCGGGCGGCCTCTGACGAAGGGCGATGCCGCGAGACAGCCGAATTTAGCGCGTCGCTAGGACACGCTTGTTGGATCTCATCAGCGACGTCCATCGATATTCGGCGGAGCTATAGTAATTATAATATATTAATTACGCGGGAATGCCATTTAATAGTCAACCGCGGTATCACTACTTTGTACTAATTGATAATAAAAATGTTTGCGCTTCGACATCCGCGCTTTCGTTCTCACAGCCTTTTTCCTGCTAATTTTTCTTCATTGTAATAGAACTGTATGTCACTCCATTGATATTAAATGCTAATTACAAATTTTTTTTCTTTAAAATCGAGATAGTGAATAAAAGAAGATAGTGATATTTTAATAATAAAACAGGAATTTGAGAATTCTCTCTCTCTTTCTCTCTTCTCTTTCTCTCTTCTCTCTCTCTCCCTCTCTCTCTCTCTCTCTCTCCTTTCTCAATTCCGCACTAGATTGCTAATTAAGCTTTACCACGCAATCCTATACAAACTTGCATATAGTATACCACGAAAGCAGCCGTGGTTCAATATCGAGGAGTCAATAGTTTTGGAGCTATAAGCCATACAGATGACTGAAATTGTTCTCTGTCTAAGCAAGTCCCGTATCACAAAGATTTCAATTTCACTGTGAGAACGAAAAGAAATTTTATCGTGAACAAAAAAATGTAATTGTTCGATGCACATTGAGCTCCTTAGAATGTAGAAGAAAGTACATTATTCCTACTTTAATACCGCGACCGTCTTATCGTCAATGTCGCGCGCCGTACGCATTTCTGATTTGGAAAAAGCCGAATGTGATTCGAACGTTTCACAAAGGGGAGCACTCGATTCCGATCACGTTCGGCAAAGTCGCGTCCGACTTCATTGTCATTTGGCAGAAATATCTGAATCAATAAGCCTTCGTATATATCGATACGTGACAATGCGTGCAGACGATATTATTATAATCCTGATTCCACAAGCGATGTATTTTTACCAGTAATGCCCGCGGCATGAACGTCAATTAAGCGAATCTACTAAATGGACGAATGTAAGTGAACGAAAGTCGGATATATTTTATTTGAATTCTAATAATGCTCTTTCACTTATTTCAATTTAATATGTTGCTTCACTGCACTGCAAATACAGTTCTCCCCGCATGAATAACGTTATTTTTCTTTCGTACGATAGCGACACGTCGTATCTGAATGTTTGGCGATGTAATTGCACGTCAGAACGATAAATCCTTTTGCCCGAAGAAATTCTTGATCCATAGCACGCATCGTGGTCGGCGACAGGATCGTTCCGACGGAAGGATAAGGAACGGACGTAGATAAATCATGATGTTTCGGATGTTGGGAACGAGAAGAGAGAATGAAAGACATTTACGGCGCTGATCTTACATTTTTTTCTTTCCTAACTTTATCTTTTCTAAAAATTACCGCTCGATTTGCAATCGTTTACGTAAGCAAAGCTTCAAAATTCTATGAAATAACTTTCGATATACGTTAATGTACATTTACATTTAATTAATTTAAATTAGTTGTTAAAAATAAGTTTTTTAATTATAAGTTTTTAAATGTACATTTACGTTTAATTAATTTAAATTAGTTGTTAGAAATAAGTTTTTTAATTACAAGTAACGCTATAACCCGCAAAATTCGCTCTTTTCGTCAAACACTGATTTCAAAAATCTTTTTGGATGTCTCTCAAGTCGCGTCGCGAGAAATGAGAGAGATACAATCGTCAGATAATTCTTACTCTTTCCGGCAGACGCTCACAAGTTGTTTCCTTTCAGCAAGGGTTTGTTTTCTACCCAGTCGGGTCTACGTTTACTCCCGTCCTGAATTTTCTTATTTTTGGAATTGGCAAGATCTGGTGCGATATACTTACCGGGATAAAGAAAAAGTCTGGAACCGATGACTGCCAGTGGCCGTTGCTTCCACTGAGGAAAAACCAATCCCTTCAATACCAGAGCGTAACCACAACGGCTGTATCCTGCCAGATCCGGCAGTGGCGATGCAGGTCCTTGTTAAAAAGAAAAAATAAAGCGTTGAACTAACAGCTCTAATCAATGAAATGCTGCGATAAAACGTAGATACTTAAAGTTATTAAACATAAACTTTTTATTATATGATGTTTATTTTTTTTCGTACTATTTTTGAAAATTTGCCAGTAGTTTTTTATTTAAAACTATCTTGTATACTGCAATATATAGAAATATATTTTTCATTACATATACGATAAACGGCGCACGGCGAAATTGAGTTATGTTTACAAACAGAAATGCGAATTTTCAGAGAATTTTTTGCAGGCTACGCGCGACATATAAATCAAAATATTATTTTTTGTCTCATTGTACAGCAATATAAACTTTTAAATACTCTAGAAATGCTATTTCAAACATTCGTAAAAAATATCCCGCGCATATCGTTGTTTCACATGATTTCTACAGCTCGTTGAACATTTGTTCATCGTATAAGCGCCATTTTTAATTATCAACGGAAATAACATCGCGACTGTGCTTTTGTTTTTTTCTGACAAAAAATTAAAGAAATTTATTACTTTTATCAAATAGATTTTAAAAGCTTTGTAAATTTTATTTATATAAAAAATGTTTGTTACGCTTTTAATTATTTCAACGCTATAATTTCTATGTAATTTATTTTGTATTGAATATGTACAAAAATACTTTTGTTAACAGTACTGCAAAATTTTCATAGAAAGAGACATTTTTAGAAATCAATGTACAAGGCAGATGTGAGCATGTAAGGGACAAAATCTCTATCATCAGAAAAAGGAGCATAATATTTCCTTGCGGATGTGTAAATATCCAGACTACATCGCCGACGGCGAGAAATGCTCGCGAGCTTTGCTTCGCCATCTCCGCGATAAAATCCAATAAATTGTGCGCGGTTATTAAAGCCAACGTGCATGGAGCTTTATTGCGACTGGAAAATGCCACAATACCGACAATTTTCAGCAATTTCAAAGAGAAAACAATTCGTTATGCAAGTATGAGATTTGCAGTTTTATTCAATAAAACAGAATACACACAATCTTATGTTTTATATTAGAAATCGAAGAAAAAATTGATGCAATGTTACATTTTAGCAATCATATCTTAGTATAAATTTTTATTGGTGTGTTAAAATCACATTGACATTATTTGAAAAAAAAACAACACTGAATTATCTATTCATTCGATAGTTAAAACAGTTTTATAGAGAAGGATAATTTTGTTTCCAACATTAATCAAATAAATAAGTAAACAAGATTTAAAGTCTGTGTGTTATATAATATGTAGCGATTCCAAGTAAATTTGCAAATGGTATGTACATGTTTCAACATTTATTATTTACTTTCTGGATATTCCGAGACTTCCTAATTTCTTTCGGATTGCAAAAGATCAATCGCAGACTTGGCTGCAAAAATTAAAAGCGAATCTATTTTCTCCAAGAGCTATTTTTGCTACTTGGTGCTATTTGCTCCATATCTAAATTTTGTTTCCAGAAGCAAAAGTTTCCGCGGGAAATTACAGGCGAGTGCTGGGAACGCGATAATCGGCGTTTAACGTTTTGGCTTAACTAGACAGGCGGTTATGTCGTTTGCTAGGGCGGCTATGGCGCGAGCGCGCACTTCCGGCACTTCCGGTCAGGAAACTCTCAGTCGTTAGTGGTTATTATGGTTAAATGTGCTTGTGCCAGCGGCGGCGCGGCGGTACGCCGCCTACTAGATAAATTTGCTGTTTTAACACTCAGCTCTTGCATCAACGTGCGCGACCCTGCAACGTAATCCGCTCCAATTCTGCACCATGAAACGTCAAACGACACGTGAACGACGCGATATCGCCGGATTTGCAGTTGCGGTGAAAAGAAAATGAAAGAATCCTGAGAGTTGAGTTATGTTGAGCTAGATGAACGAGCGCGAGAGATAAATTGATAATACTATTAAAATAATTGAGATCTTCAGATTATTAGCAGTGGAGTTTGTTGAACGTTCGGATTCTCGATTGATTTCGACACGAAAATTTAGTTCTAATCATTTAAAAATTAGACTAAAAATAGAAAAGCAAATTTATATTCAAGCGCCTGCATTTTCACAATTTTTATATTTAAATTTTACTTTTTCTGATTCCACATAAACGAGTGTGTGCAAAATAAATGTCGGTAAAATGGTTCGGATATCCGAGTGATAACTGTAGAATATAAAATGGAAGTATTTTATCATGGAAGTTGACCTACGTAAAGCTTGGATAAAGCTGGATAAACAAAAATAAGATATATGTATCGCTGTATGTTGAGATATGCAAACGTTTGGGTTTCGGAATATTCTGCTCATCAAGAATTTGGATTACTTGACGCTCGAGACCACGAGCCCGTAAAATTTTAAACATGCGGGTCTTTCCGCCGCTCGTATGTCTACGCGCTTAGATTCTTGCAAGTTTGATTATTTGAATTTTGCATTTAGATTTAAATAAACAACGAGCGGACACGTGAAATAAAAATACGGCAAAAAATTGTCCGGAAATCCAAGCACGTAACACAAAAGTGTTTACGATTGCCAGTTTTTCCGGTGTATCAGTTCGTCGAAAAACAAAGTGCAAGGCTCTCTCAGGCTGGAATATCAATCACCGGCTATTTCCAATATCGTCAGGTCTATCGGGGAAATGCGAACGCTGCAGTTTATCGTTCTCGCAAAAACCGCTCCAAATGCACCGCTGCAAATGTGTGTACACAACAGTAAACAGACGTCGAGGAAAGCAAGAAGGCAATTTTCGAGTTTCCGTGGAAAGCAGTTAAGAAGACAGACAAGTATCTCTTCTGTAAAGCAACGCGAAAGTTGCTTCGAACTCTCTCGGATTACACTTATGACATAACACGCATACTGTAACGCCGTAAAGGCAAATCGAAGATAAATTGGCTCGTGAATTTTGCTGTTAAAACAGTAATTGCGCGCCCCTAAGCTCGTGCATCCGGAATAATCGTCCGCGAGTTTTGCCGTATTATCGAAGAACAAAAAAAGAAGAATAGGTACGCGAAAATGAATTCCGTGTTGCGACGAGATGACGCACGCGACCCGCCAGCGCGCACACTTTAACTTAATTAACTCGGCTAAATTGCGCCACGTAAGTTACGTAATGCGTCTCGAGTTTATATCGCCGGCGAGCGAACGGTGCACAGAAGCGTCCTGAAATTGCTCATTAATAGCGGCAATAATGTTATAATTAGCGGGGCACGCGCGCGCGAGCGATCTCACCCGCTGTCGTTCAGTGTCCCTGTAGCGAGAACATTCACGAAAGTACCTACTTACAGCTTCTCGTGCCAAGACACAACGGCCAACTGTCGTACACAGAGCTTTCCATTCGAGTGAAACGCTTTTCTCTGGTCGATTGTAACACATTTGACATCTTATTATATCGAAACGTCGAAATCTCAGTCGCGACTGACCGTAAATGAAAGGTGAAATAGCTGCAAGTTTTACTTTCCTAATAATTGCAATACAATTCTATAAAAAGACGCAAGTTAAGCAGAATGTAACCATCCACGAAGACCATTATCCTATCTCTTACTCTAGAAAGAAATAAAAAGCAAAAAATAGAAATGGATCAATTATATTGGTTCTCTTTCGAAGAATTTTTTCTCACACCATTTTCACGTTAAATATCAATAATTTCTGACTTATTAATCAACTTTTTAGCAAACTCATAAGTTCTTTGAATGATTCTGCATTTTTCAATCACCGGAAATGTAAGTCATCGATGAAATGAAAGTGTAAGTATTCAGATTTTGTAATATTAAATATTTGACATGTGTATGAGAATATTCTGCATATGATAGAGCGCGAGTTACTTGCCGAAATAGCTTCCATTCTTACCGAGTAAATCTTCAGGTCAACATAATCAATAAGTACGTCGCTTGCAATTAGTCAAATCGCTTGCCTGTTTAATTAATCATCACGAGTATAAAGGTCACGACAGCAGGAATTAGATGGGCGCGATTCTCTCGCGAAAGTTGTTCGCATGAGTGCTAGATGACGAGAAGACGGGCCGAGATGACGAAGTGCTCAACTAATGCAATTAGCTTACAGAAGATGGTGCACGTCGGCTCGCGGAAAGTGTAGTCGCAATGTAACAAAATCCGACGCGCTTTGTAATTACCAGGATTAGGATTTACGTTAAGTAATAAAAGTGCGCTAAACACACACATGTGTATACCTGTGTGTTACATATACCAGTATGTAATAAAATATATTTCAGTACGAGAGCATTTTGGATCGTGCGAGAACAATTTCAAATCAGAGTGAATTGTTTTTAAATCCAACTAAGATTTAAAAAAAATATTCGTTAATTTTAATGTAAATCACAAACTCTAATTGATTATTTATTATTTCATTACGCGCTGTAGTTCCAAAATTATTCTAATTTATAATTATTTTATTTATTAATTTGTCCCAATTATTTTCAAATAATTTAAAGCCACTTCTCTACCGGCACAGGCAAAATAATTTCTAGAATGGCGTAGTATAAGAGCGTTTTAATGACATTTTGTGTGTATATAATTAAAATTAAAATTACTTAAATTATTTTAACACATGTAACTAAGCAAGTATCAACAGAAAACTTCTACGACTTGTGGAATAAAAAATATCGCTTGTCATAATTTATACTAACCTACGTGAAAACCGACGAGATGTCTAAGTTCAGGATCAACCCCCAAACGAGCGCGCCGAGACACTTCCTGGTAGCCAAGCCTTTGAAGAAATTGATCCTGAATCTCCAACGGTTTCTCCTGGGACGCCAACCTCCTACCTGGTTCACCGCCATACTAAAATATGAATTCATGAAATGTTTATTTTAACAACAAAAAAGAAACGTACTAGCAATGCATTTAAAGAAAAAAGAAATTCGTGCAAAATAAGTGCATGTAGAAAAAGGATATAAAAAAAATGTACATTTTAAGAAAAATTTATACCAACTACAGAATGCTAGAAACAAAAACATATTTTTCGTTCTTTATCAAGAGATACGGTCGTGTTTTTCATCGAATCACGCGCAAGAAAACCAGTATTTAATATATATATGTATATATTTTTTATACTTTTATACACATATATTATATAAAATATATCAAAATTTAAACTTCCTTAACTTTATCTAATTAAGGGATAATTTTAATTTAAAAATATTGACATTTAAATATATACCTTAACTTTTATCATATTATATCATGTTTATATTATATTTATTTTGTCTCATATTTTGCTTTGTGATCGAACGAATAGTGATCGACGAAAGCTTTTAATGAAATTAAAAACCTGATATCCAATATATCCAATATTAATATTGGCACTGTAAGCGACAAAACTGTTTCACAGTTCACCAGTTCATGGAAGCTTCAATGAATTTTCAAGATCAAAGTTATTCTCTCAGAGCACGAAGTCCATCATCTCTGCTAATTAAAAAAACATTTTAATGCAGTCTCTTTAAATCTCGTTACTTTCTTATTCGTACCGAGTCAAGCGCTTTATACTTTCGCACGGTCGTTTTTTCTCTGCCGGTAAAATATCGTCATAATATTCCAACAAATCGTAGCAAAAATTTAATTACAAAATTAATTACCAAGGTATTTAACAACGAGAATCGAAGAGTGTTAAAATAAGATCTAAAGGACATAGTGTAGGAAACAGAAGCGTATTTTACAGTAATTTATGATAACTAATTTCGCAATCAATCTTTCTTTAATAAGAAATCTAAGTACTGGATCAAGTATTATTGCTAATTCAAAGATGTTAAACAAAATAAAAAATATACAAAAAGTTTTAATATTAATTAAACTATATTCTACATTTTTCTCTATATAGTTATTACAATTATAAATATTTTATACGTTTAAACATAACGCAAAATTGAACATATGAAATATAAACCGACGATATTATTAACACACACACACACACACACACATACGCCACATAATCTATAAGATTCTCAGGATATAAGTTTCACTGCTATAAGTTTCACCTAGAAATAGAACTGCTCTTATCATAAATTTTACATTTCAAAACGTCTGCATTATCGAATTTGTCAGAAATATCTAGGTAATCGATTATCTTTTTAAAGCTCAAGATACACAGCGGTCTTAGGTTTCCTGCGGGGTTTCAACGAAAATAATTCTCGCTTGTTTCCACAGGTTTATAGGTCACGTGTGAGGAACTTTAACTTTTTAGCGACTGCAGACTGCAGGTGAAATACAGTCTTCAAGACTAAAAATACATCACGTATAAATGAAAGTTACAGTAATTTTTGCAAATCCTTGTGAAGTATTTTGCGTTCTAGTCATATTATATATTTAAAAAAGTGATAATTAATCGTAAATTGGCATTAATAATTAATGTCGCTATAATATCTACTTTTATGTATATTGATTTTTATGTTGTTTAAAGAGATCATGACAGTTGATATGTTATCTTAGTTTTGCGTTTTAAATAAACCATAAACTTCTCAATAAATTGCAACAATCTTTAATCGAGTGTGAATAAATAATCATTATAAATATTTTTGAAACATTAACATTATATCAACTTGTTTCTTTTCAAGAGAAAGAATTATAAGATTTTTATATTTTTCCTCTTTTATTTAGAACATAAAAAATTGAGCACTTAGCGCAATAATATGACAAAATATTGACAATCTGTCAAAAAAGCTATGCATTCTTTTATGTATTTATTTGTATCGAAAGTTCGCGACAATTGCTTTACCGAGTTTATTTAGATTGTCGTCTGGATTGTCACTGATTTGACAATCTGTAAAATACTCATGCAAAATGTCCTCAATCTATTTTGAGCCTTAGTACGTTTTCAAATTTCTGACAGTTTCCAAGTTTTAGATCGGCTGTCGAAGACGACGGATTTTCCTCGGGAAACTCGTCTGCCGGATCGTCGAGCAGAGCTTTCAACGTCACGTCAATCGCGAACTTTCTCGGAAAAAGTCGTACTTTGGTCAAACATCCCTTTTAGGTAGCAATTGGCCGAACTTTGGTAACTGCGATCTTCGCGCGGGAATTGCCGTTTCGTTAAATCATTTTGCCGTCGCGTTTTCGTTGAAAATTTTGTCCGGCTTTCCGTGATAATGAAAGTTATTCAAAGTATAAGACATTCTCTCAAGCATTGTATGTCAATAATAGAGTTATATTTTTTCGATTAGTCTGCATGGATTTAATTAATCTGCATATGCAACATCGCGCATCAATTGCAAGAAGATGAAATTTATATATTAATAGTTCAAGTATAAAGCAGATAAGAGATTTTCTTTTAATCTATTTGACCTATAAAAGTCCGCTTGGATTTCCTTGATTAATTAAAAATTTTATAATATTATATTTATGCATATTTTTTTCAGCTTTTGTATGACGTTTTATATGCGCAAAAATTCTTCAGAAATCGCGTTCGTAAACCGGAGGCTGCCGTTTAAAATGCATTAAAGTCGTCTATATCTCTGCGCGCGCGTAGTTTTTCGATAATTCCGTAATCTGAAGCGATTTTAATTTCGTGAGATAAAACAGCATGTACCACTTTGCGAGCAAGGGGAGGCATTAGTCGTGACATATGCGTCGTAAAAAATTGTAATTCCGGAAAGTGGCCTGTAAATAATAACCCGGTTAGCCGCAGGGGTAAAGAGATTAATCACGCCGTGCATTGGATAGCAAGCGAATGCGGACCATATATTGCACAATACATATCACCGCTGGTGTGGCAGATTTTTTCTCTAATTTTTACTCCGCAAAATCTTTGCAATTTCGATGAAAGCCAATATATATAATACTTTGTACACTACTTGATACCCGTGTTGAATATGTTTCATACCTTCAATCTTTAATATTTTCTTATAAACAACATCGGCGCAAATATGCAAAATAAGATTTAATAAAAATTTTTACGTAATGTAGATCTTACGAATCAATTCTTAAAAAGCAGTTTATTTATGCTCCTATTTATTACATATTTACAAACATCAGTGTATATTTGTACAGCTAATGAAATGTTGAAACATTTGAGTGCTCTGCAGAACCAGACTGCCATGTGAGGTCACGCGAATATTTTTTAGACAGATTTTTCGACTGTTCTTTTATGACCGGCACAGAGAACCGCGGGGGTTGATGCTATTTGAAATGAAAGCTGTGAAGGTAAAAGGAATCATTTGAGAACGTGCGGTCCGCAGATGGCGGAAAGAGATGAAACGTCCCTTCGCTTGCGACGAAAGGGAAGCTCTTCATTAACGAAGGGAGCGTAATTAAAGGCTCGAACACTTTTGCATCGCGCGGATAATCATATTTCTGCGCGGAACATCTCGCCTGCCGATCCAAGCATGAATTTTCGACCTTTTCGCCATGTTCGCGGATTTAGAAATTAATTGCAGCCACTGAGTCAGCGGTAATCTACTCTGTTGACTCGAGTCTTGAACCTAGAAGCAACGAGCTTACCTCTTTGAGCATCCAAAGTCTCAAACGCGACTTATCTGCTTTCGCATTACATTACTTTTGCGCATTACATTAAAATGTTGACGATTAATCGTGTAGAATACTTGAAATATTTAATAATAAAATTACCATTTATTAAAAATGACGATTACGATTTAAGGAAAATATGTTAAACCTTTAAAAATTGTGTTTTATTAATATTATCAAATAAATTAATTTTTTATAAGTAATCAGAAAAAGTTTTTTTCAACTACAGCGAGAATTATGCTGCTACGACCAGATGTATTAGTGCAGTAATAACGAAAGAATGAAATTGAATTGAGAATGATTCTGATTAAAGTTAAAGCTCTTGCGCCCCAAGAAAAGTATAATCATTTGACATAAAAGTAATTGCTTCTTGCTGAACAGGAGAGTTAATAGACTAAGCTAAGATGAATGAAAATGAATTAGTTGCCGAATAAGTTTCGAATTTATCCTGCAGCTCATCCTGCTTTATGACACGGCGTGATAATGGCCGCTTGTTAGTGCTCTAAGGTTATTATTACTTCTTTCGATCACGTCATATGGCGGACGTTTAATTATAGTGATAAAGGATTGCTATACGGTATCAAGTTACGAAGCATTCTCCTAGGATAGCCATGTCCAATACCTTTGCAGTTGTGGTTAATTAACCAAGTATAAAGTTTCTAATCATCGTGAGATTATGTTCTAATTGACGTTATTCCGATTGGAAATAAACTTTAATCTTCCGCTTGTCGCTCTTTCAATTTTCTCAAGACACTAATACGTATATCTGCTATCAATTTATATTAATCAAAATTGCTCGTTAGAAAGATCTGATAAAAAAAAGTCAATTTTTCTTCTCGACAAATTATAATCTTTATAGAATTTTGATGAATCTGTAATGCTCGAATGAGTCCAATCTAAAATTTCTTTTGCAGAAAAAATAGTTTAATAAATTCTATTCCTTAATATTAAATGTGTGTATGTGTAATTTCGTTACTGTTCCAATCTTAAAGGTTCTCTTTTAATAAGTCCAATTATTATTAGAAAGAGATTTTTGGTTTCTCCGAAAAAAATATCTTATAATCTTTTGCTTACACGTCATAGCAGTCTAAATAGAGTATCGATTTTGAAGTTGCTTACTAGATAGATACACATTTATCTGTTCATAAATTCGTTCTTTACATTTTTCTTACTTACTATGCATATTTTCTTGAAAGGAAAAGTAATGTACTATATGGCAAAATGTATGCGAACACAGCCCGCATATTTCATGTACCATTATTATGAAGGTGCCGTTTACGCGAAGTGCCTGTGAAAAATTTCTTCAATCCGTCTAACAGTGG